GAGTGACGTTACGCTGAGTGACGTTACGTCGAGTGACGTTACGTCGAGTGATGTTACGTCGAGTGACGTTATGTCGAGTGACGTTACGTCTTTTAACGTTACGTTGAGTGACGTTACGTCTTTTAACGTTACGTTGAGTGACGTTACGTTGAGTGAGTGCTTCTTTTAATCCTGAAACTGAAGAAATAGACATTTGACATTAAACTGTTGCTAAATCTCTATTGCAAGTTCTCTTACTGTGACAACCCCCACTGTGGAGAGCAGCTGAAAGAAAAACAATAATATGTTTTTCTAACAAGTTGTATGTTGAATGTCTTGCCACATGACATTATGTCACATTATGATACGTTCATTTGTTTCAGGTATCAGGACTCTCAAAGTGGATGGGAGATCAGATGACACCTTTGCAGAACATTCCTCCCTGGGCGATTGCTATCATTTTGTGTCTGCTTATTGCTACCTTCACAGAGTGCACCAGTAATGTGGCCACTGCAACTCTCTTCCTACCTGTCTTGGCCTCAATGGTAAGGATGCTCACATAGAACATTTGTGTTGATAGAGAATAAAATTAGAATCAAAGGCAAAACTTCTGAACATATAGTAACTACAGCCAGCAAACTGTTAGGGACTACTCTGCCGAGTATGGAAAAAATATACATTGACAGAGTTATGAGGAAGGCAAACAAGATAATAGCAGACAATACACATCCCCTAAAATCCTCATTTGAGATCCTTCCTTCAGGGCAAAGGTACTGCCTTTCTTTATTCCCAAGAAACAGGACATTTTCTTTCATACCACATGCGATTAAATCATTAAACAATAAAAAGGTATCATGAATTACTGAGCTCAAACTTCTTTGCCGTAATGAAGGATGTTAATGTCATGTTTGTATATGTATGTCCTTTATGTACATGAGTGCTACAAACCAATTTCCCTACAGGGACAAATAAAGCTATCTATCTATCTGAAATGTAAGGGACATAAAATTATGCCTGGAAGTGATCTTCTGTTAAGTAAGATGCTCTCTACAGTAATGTGACGCAAAGCGATTTCCCCAGCTGAAGTCCAGCTCTGACATTGCTCCCAGTGAGAGTTGGCCTATTTTCCCAAGTTTGGCAAGTTCCCTGGTTGGTCATTCAGGCTGAAGCTGTTTAGTTCTCTACTTTGGGCCCCTCCTTCCATTAATAACCTGCCAAATATACCAATTCAGCTCCATGCCCTGTCCCACTGCCTGTCTCTTTGCTGTGAAAGAATGTCATTACTGTGCCTACTTGTTGAGCACTACACAGAATTTCAAAACAGTTTACAAGTCTAGAAGAGACATTCAAACTGATTTTACACAACCGTGATCAAGTATGCATGCAACTAGAAACAGGAGCGTAAGAGTACAAGGACTGATCGTTTGATCATTTACTTTCAACTATAGTGAAAGTGAGGACGACAATTTGGAGGCGCCTTGTGCCTTGTGTCTTTGTATCATCATTTCAAATAAATCTTTGATTTAAACAAAAGCAGTATAACAAGACAACGGATTGTTATTCTGGTGACATGGTATGGAACTTACAGTTTCAAGTATCCTAAATATAAAGTTTACATTTTTCCACACATTGTTTATTTTAGGACACAAAGATTACTGTGCACTTGTTTAAGCTGGTCTGCCACAGGATATGTAATTCAGAAGCAAATTCTACACAGTAATGTTCTCTGACCCGTTGTAGTCTACCATTATCGCTACAGATGCAGTGCTTTTCTATTTTAGATGTCATGACTCAGCTGCAAGCCAGCAGGAATTACATCTTAATTACACCCACCTAATGAGAGTTTTCACTTCACACAGAATTGCACACAGTTCATTCAGAGTTACGAGTCAGCGATTACTGCTACAGAAATATAGCCAGATGAGAGGGTGGAGGGTTTTGTGAACAAACTGTGCTCATTGACCGTTTCAAACCTCCTGTGTGATTTTGCAGTCTCAGTCCATCGGAGTCAATCCACTCTACGTCATGGTGCCTTGTACTCTGAGTTCTTCATTTGCCTTCATGCTGCCTGTTGCCACCCCCCCGAATGCCATAGTCTTCTCCTATGGATATCTCAAAGTTGCTGACATGGTGAGTATAACAGTGGTGTGTTGAGGTTATTCTGTAAATGACACGTTGTGTGAAATTGCTGTGATTTCGCTGCCCCTGTCATGCTGTTAGAACTGCAGAACTTGCAATCACCGTCATGTGCAGTTACACCCTGAACCATAAAAGAGGTTCTTTTCATTTAGTGAAATGTGAATATTCACACTTGTAAATGATTTAAAAATATTGATTGCACTCCTAAAGTTCTGCGTTGTAATTTTAAGTGACATCCAGTAGCTAACAGATGCAGATTACAACACCTTTCCCACCCGCCCCTTGCAAGTATAGAAATAAACAATAAAAAGCAACAATAAGATATAAGCAAAAATAAATGTAGACTCTGTTGTGCCAATTTGCCCATATCATTCCATAGCCAATGCATATGAAGTTATGAATAAAACATACATTTCTGACAGTATAAACTCCTACATGGTGTTCTGAAACAATGTTTTACCTGTTGCTTGTGGGGGTGGGGGTGCTAATTGTGCCTTAATCATAAAAAATAATTTACTGTACAGACGGACTGGGGTGGATGAGGCTGAATGATTAGAGCAGTCGTCCTCCAATGCAAGAGTTGGGGGTTAGAGTCCACCAGCAGTCACGTGCTGAAGTGTCCCTGGGAAAAACACTGAACACCTCATTGTCTCCGATGTGTGTCCCATTGGAGTATGATTGTGATCTAAAGCACTGATTATTCTTTGTATAGATGTAGTAGTGCTGCATGAATGGGTAAATGAGGGCACAGATTGTGTTGTAAAGGGCTTTGAGTATCTTAATCAGATAGAAAGATGCTATACAAGTACAGTCCATTTTATAGACAGTTATAAACAACCTCTGGTGGTTCATTTTACTACTCTAATGCAGGGGTGTCAAACTCACTTACAAAAGAGGGCCAAAATTAAAACATTTTTCAAACTAAGGGCCAGTTTCTGAATCTACATTAACTCAAGTTAAGATTCCCAACATATTTTCTTGGTTGCAGGTTCCTCAACAAGAGTTTGATTGGTTTCATTTGACGTTCTCTGTTGCACTTTGGACATCACAATCAAAGATTAATGAAAAAATTCAAGTGATAAAAGTATTTTACAATTAAAATAACATCTTAGGGGCCAGATAAAATGTAAACGAGGGCCACATTTGGTCCCCCGGGCCTTGAGTTTGACATATGCTCTAATGTGTTTTCCTGCTGTTGTAGAAGTCATAGACATGAATAAAGATGAAGAAGTGTTTTCAGCTTTTGTCATTGTTCAGGATTTAAGCCAAAATGTCAAATTTTGGAGAGTGGCGCCATTGTTAAGGCTTATTTCCTCTGCACGCACCTGTTCTCTTGGTCACTACCAACATTTCATTATGATACTTGCAGTTGATAATTGCAGCTATTCATATCTAAACAAAACAAATTAAACCAGCCAGGGAACTATGCATTTTAAAAAGTGATAGCAGTCAGCAATTCTTAACTTATAGCCCCTGAATAAGGCCGAATCCCATTTCTAGCATTACCCCTACCTGCATGTCTATGGGTGCATGCCTATGTACCTCCCAGATGATTTTCAGTAATACATCACCTGCCTTTTAAGGCCATGTAGCTGTAGGATAGAAGTATTTATTAAAAGGTAACTTGGTTATTCTTTGAAATAATGTGGAAGCAACACTCATCAATAAATTTTAATGACTTCAGGGGATAAAAATGTATTTGTAAAACAATATTCTTCTTTTCCACCAGGCTAAGACTGGAATATTTATGAACATCATTGGCATCCTTTGCATCACACTGGCCATTAACACCTGGGGCAAAGCCATGTTTCACCTGGACACTTTCCCTGCCTGGGCCAATGTAACAGGCGTGTGAGTCTCGTTCTGCTTGAAGATGTGATCGATGCACACCCTGCCCTCCAAAAACAGCTGCCAGATACTAACACCTGTGGTCGGAGAGAAAGCACAGACGCAAACAGTGAGGTCTGTGCACTGTATTACTGTCTGGGTGTTTTCACTGACATAAGGGCTTTGCTACTGATTGAAGGTGGAAATAACTATGAGGAAAAACAGAGAATAAATGGTAGTTATGTGTGTGTGTAGGAGGGAAGTTAAGGCTATAATGAAGGTTCCCTATATCTAAATACCTTGACAGAATTTACAGCCTGTCAATATTTATATCCTTAAATTTAAAGAATCTAAGGTATATTATATTAGCAGCAATTTACAGGGATACCACTCCTAGTTTTATATTTTATTTAAAACATTCAGAAGTAAAAGTTATTCAAATTGGTAAAGTTTTGGTTTAGTTTAATTTAACATGTAGCAACACATTAAAAAAAATCCTTGCTGTACAAAAATAAAACAAACAAACAAAACATTTTTATACATCTTTATGCAAATAGTTCAGAGGGACAAATGATTGCTTTAACTAAATGTTCGTCAACTTTTCTACTTTTATATTAGAATATTTTTCTAAAAACACAACTATACTTTTTATATTAAGTCAAAGATTTATTCTCCAAAAAGTAATTTAAAATTTGTCCTGATGAGACCAAAAGCAACATTAAAAATATAGTCCCACGTGAATACTTCTGTTACAAGGACAGTTTAGCTTCCTAACGAGCACTTTTACTACTTAAATGTTTATCTGCCAAATTATACTTTCACCACAGTGAAAATATTAAATACAAGTAATTTTAAGCACTGGGTTTTTAGCATTTTGTTGGTTTGTTACTTTAATGGAGTAAAAAAAAAGAACTGTTTTAGGGATAGTTTTTTGTTAAAGGTGGGGCGATGAGGTTTTGGACAAGTAACAACTTACCTGTTTTAGATAGACTTTCCAAACAACATTTGTGTTTAACTCTGATTAGATCAATCAGCTAATAGGCAGATTCAAGACAAAACCAAGGTGGGTTGCTGCCATCCTAAAACAACTCCAACCTCCTAAGTTTCAAAGCAACTGCAGTTGTTATCTTATAAAAGTTTACATCGCCATCTCTTTTGCATTCCACATTTATACTGGCAGAAATATTATCATATTCCTGATGGAGGTGCCCCAGGCTTCAGCTGCTGCTACTGCCATGTAAACTGGTATTGATGGTGGATTAAAGATTTACAAAGCAGCATTTGCATGAGCAACAGTCAAATCTTCATGTCTGAAGTTGTTTTAAGGCGGTAGTGAGCCACTCGGAGCCACTCAGACTAGCTGTTAGCTTGTCAATCCAATCAGAGTTTAACGTTAATTCTCAAAACTGAGGCTACAGCTTTCTGTGTACAACAGGTAAGATATTGATTGTTCATAACCTTTTCTAGAGAACCCCTATTCAAATGATCTGAATTATTATTTTAAAATGCCTGTGACATTTAAGAAATTTGGCATAGTACATATGTTTTGACACATTTTTCACACAACAAGAACAAAATGAAATAGGAAGTGACATCAAAGGGGAATTATTTAAAACAGGGAACTCCCTGGTCTTTTTGTTGAATTAATGTTATTGGAACTCTGACTCTTTTACACCTCTTTTATAGTGACTCAAAATAATGTCAGACACATGACTGTCTTCTCTACTGTACATGTTATTAGTCAGATGTCGTAATGCTCCGTTCACATGCAGGCGTTCCCCTTTGTCATCACTTCCTGTTACTGTGCATGCCAGCATCGCAAAATCTGTTCATCTCAATGGTGTGAACTTTTGTTTTTGCAATACATTAATAATGTTATCTTGAAAAAAAAAGTCATATTTATTTCAAAAATTTGATGTCACAGGCACTTTAAGGTAATATAGTTTGTTTTGGTAACACTTTCCAATAAGGTACACAAAATTTGATTACCTACTGGGGAACGCCCCAGGAACAAATCAAGAGCTAATGGGTAGTTAACCATTACTTACTGGTGAACACACAGAAGCCTTATTAGGGGACTACTGCTTAGTTACCTTGTAAATGAAGAGGAACTAATCAAGAACTAATGGGTATTTACCAAGGAAACCAAAGAGGAACAAATCAGCAGCTAATAGGTAGCTAACCAGTACTTATTAGGGAACACACAGCCAAGCCTTACAATGGGACTACTGGTTTGTTACCACAGAAACAGAGGAGAAATTATCAATTTGGGTTCTGAATAAACCCTGCACCAGTGAGGTCACAGCTTGTAATTGTCAAAAAACTGTTTCCTACTGATTACTGATTTTAGTGGATTCTTTTTTTTAATTTTTTTTAATAATTTGTCTTTATTGTAGCAAATGAAATAGATGTAATCTGGAGTGGATGGTGGAAATGAAAACTGGAAAAGCCCTTATGACTCCTACAGAAACGTAAAAAACTTGCCTGAAAAAAAAAACAAACCAGATATATTTTTTAACTTAAAAAAAATCGAGCAATTCAACAAATCTTCAACCTATTTATAAATGTTCAGTGAGTGAAATCCCCATCCTGTCACAGAATTTGACGAGTTGCGGTTACACCGGAGCAGAAGCGTCTGGGAACAAATGTTTAGCCGAGAACTGAACAAAAATACAGGGACCGGAAGTTTATCTCCATCGTTTATATGTGAAGTAATGTCTGCTGTTAAAATTATGTTTTCTTTACAAATAAGAGAAAAGTCGTAACATATGGACTCCAAAGGACCTTTGCTTTATGCAGTATGTATATATGCATTTTCTGTGGTAACAAACCAGTAGTCCACTAATAAGGCTTGGCTGTGTTTTCCCCAACTACCCATTAGCTCCTGATTCGTTCTTGAAGCGTTTCCTAGTAGTTACCGGTAATCAAATTTTGTGTACCTTATTGTAAAGTAATACCGTTGTTTCATTTAATTTTAGCCTATAAAGTACATGTATTCAGAGATGAAAGACTGATTAGAAGTCATAAAAGAGTAGAGTCAGCACTCACCTGGAGCAAAGACAGTCTTTGTTTGCATTGTTTATCATGTAATTATGAACTGTATTCAAGTTGTATGTAAGAATCAATGTATATATGTCTTTTTTTTTTGTCTTGCACATGTAAAAATGAACATTAAAATTAACCTGTTTTCATGCAGTGTCTTTCTTTCTTGCTGAACACATTAAAACTATTAACTCTCGTACAGAAAACAAAATGAACTCGCATACTTTTGTGAAGACAGAAAATCATCAGTCTAACATTGAGTAACTCTCAGCTCAAACAATAAAAAAAATCCCCAGATCACCCCACTCTCATCACCTCTTGCTTTTTCTCAACCATACATGACTATTCTTTTTGTCTTAAGGAGTTCCTGAGTCTCTGCCTCTGGTTTACTGACCCCTCGTCTCGTGCACGTATCTGATATAATCCCGTAAACACGGAGTGGAAAGCCTCGATAATCCTGAACCGAAAGGCCACACCTAATGCATGCAAGCAGGAGCCGTGTGTCACGGTGCTCTTGCGAGACATTGTTTAAGCCACGGGGTCAAGGCGGTGATACGGTCCGGCATTGTTTTGTGTCATAAACATTAAGAGCTCAGAGATGACATTTCGTCTGTCTGCATTTTAAGACCCCAGATAACTTTAATACAACCTTACAAGTATCTTAATGAGTGTCTGTCATCATGATGGGTTTATGTTTGCTCAGCATTACAACAAAATAGCAACAGCAAGACTTTACAGATAAATGGCATCAAACCTTGTAGAGAGCAATAGCATGCCTGCAATGACACAAAGGTAAAGTGAAGTAATCAGGAAATCCCATGGAAGTTAGGACTTTTTTTGCTGTTGGGTAACTAAAATGCTAGATAGTTGTTGGTTAATGGACATTTTTGGTGCAGAGAGCATTTCAGAGGACTATGATCTTGGATCCCTGAGGGGGAAAATTGCTTATGTAATTTGAGCCTTTTTGCTCCTACTGTGCCACCTACTCATTATCCAATTGAAACATGTGTTTCATATTTTGATGTACATCTACTTTACTCAACATAAATACACTCGTGAGGTCTCAGAAGTTGAACTTGCCGGTGGTTCTTTTTGGTTTTATACAGCTGGTTGTGAGTAAATAATCTCTTGCGAACCCAAAAGTGCATTGGGTGAATTTTTTGCAGGGTAAGCAAAGAGCGAGTTTAATGAATGTCTTCCACACAAATACAAAAAGATTATGGTGTCATGAATACCTTTCAGGCACATGAGAGCTCAAATAGACATTCTTGTGTTGCCCCTCTAGTATTTAAGAGTATTTAGACCAAAGACTTATCTAAAAACCAAACTGGCCTTCCATCATTTTTGTATCAGTTACACATGAACACAATATGCCGCTTGTCTCATGCTATCAATCCCCCCTGGCAAACAAAGACATGGTTTCATTTAGCAATCGGAGAATCCAATTAAGTTATGGAAATGAGTTAAGCAAAAAAACTAAAAGATCCAACAGAACACAGAAGACCTTTGTTTTCACTTTCTTTGGGAACTAAAGTACTTTCATATAGGCCATGCCAACAGACGGAGCCTTGATAATCCATCTCCTGGAGGAATTCTTTGTAAATTGGTGTACTTTTACAACCTTAAAGCCACTTTTGCATTATAAAGCAGAAATCAGACTTTATGAATACAACAAATAGACAAAACCGACACAAATAATCAAAAATTCTAAACCTGAGTTCACACAGTTATATTTTATTAAGTTGTTTTTTCACCTGACCATGAAAAGTCTAAAATCGTTCAACTTTTTTTTTCATCGTTGACAAATAATGACTGCTTCGTTGAACGTTCTTAATGATGTTGTTGAAGCATTGGATGCTAAGGATTATTGTGCTGCACTTTATTTAGACCAGTCTAAAGCTTTTGATACTGTGAACCACGACATCCTATGTCATAAACTCCCAGAAATTGGTTTCTCAGACCACAATATTGATTGGTTCTCTAATTATCTCTCTGACCGGAGGAAGTTTATGGGGGAGCGGTGGCGCAGAGGTTAGAGATGGTGGGCCTGTGATCGGAAGATCACCAGTTCAAGCCCTGGTACCGACAACATCAAAAATTAGGTGGGATAGGTGAAGCACCCACACCTGCCCCCACCCTCATTTGCCCCACTCTGGGCGCATGAGCAAGGCCCTTAACCACCATTTGCTCCCTAAAATAGGTATTTCTTGAAAATGAGTTCTTGTGGCTCAATGAGACTACCTGGATAAATAAAGGGTAAATAAATAAAAAAGTATTTTCAACCTAATGGCACTTCTTCCAGCTAGCAAACTGTCAACAATGGTGTACTACAAGGCTCAGTCTTAGGACCCAACCTCTTCACATTCTACATAA